CCAGTGAGCGTGCGCAAAACACGACAGATGAGTACGTTCGTATACGAAGTGGACACGTGGCGAAACATCCTCGTACTCAACCAGTCTATCCGGCCCTGATGGGTGACATCAACATTGGAATAATCCTTGCAACAGTTCTGGCCGCCAGATTGTGTGTCAGGCCGTATACTGTGATCGAGTTGATGATAGAATCTGTGTTTATTTGACACCCACTGACCAAAGTACATTGATCTCCGGCTACCACACGATGATTGTGAGTCAAAGGAATAGGGAAGGTTAAATTGAAGCAAGACACTTCTGTAGTGGCAAACAATCCTGTTCCTACATCGATAACAATGTATACCGTGAAGCGTAATGTCTGTCGTCTAACCTGTCACACTATCACACGGCAGCAAACACCCAATCATCAATTGAGTCTACCCATTACCCTTAGTCTCGTTTTTAATTTCCCGAATTCCCTATCGTGTTATTATAGCACGGCCCCAACATGTTTTTTCGATCCTGTTTTTGCTCGAACAATTCTTGTCTAAATAGTCTTCGTTGATTTCAGATCTTCCTTCAGAGTTTTGGTGTGCGAATGGCGCCTACTCTCGCTTGTGTCAAAGTAAATTCCATTTCTTATAGTTCACTTTTTAAAGAAAATCGTCTATCTGTCATACCTGTTGTATTGTATGCAGTATTATAAGGGTTGGAGTATGTATGTGTGTTGAAAGTCTAGGGCATTCTTGTCGCACAGGTTTTTTTTAAAAAATATACAGGTCCGCCGTTTACTCACAATTTAAACCGTTTTGTTCATCTATCGCTGACTGAACCGTGTAATTAAATGGCGGAGTTGTCAGCTTTAATGATCTCAGAGATCGCTTTTTATTCATATTACTCAGGAGTTGTGAGAGAATTAAACACAACTTCACAATTTGCTATGGTCTGATTATGCTTCTCCTCATTTGATACATTGCAACGAGTTAGGCGCAAGCGCGTTTGCTATTGAAAATCAATAGCCGCAGTAACTGCTCTCTCGCGGGCCTTATAACCCTACATCTTGAGGCCAATTGACCAAGCTTTGAAGTCACCACCTCACACAATTTGTTCACCGATCAGAGTAGTCTTGATCGTCGTTCGATTCAGTTGTTAGTTGAACGCTAGTTCGGCTTCCGATGTTGTATCCACTCATATGTATTCTCATCCAAGCGCAATGATTCTCGAGTGTGTGGTATTGTGTTGAAGCCATTTTCCTAAGGCGTGAATAGGTCATAAAGCCACACTATTTACAGCTTTCTTTCATCGCCACCAACTGTCCACTTCACTCGTACTCGGCGTTGTCTTCATTGAGTGCTGTTATCTAGCCGCGCGGGCGTTTCCACGACGTGTCATCTGAGCGTCGCCTTAACTGTCATTAGGGCATCGTTATCATCTCTGGTCAGTCGGCAACGGGCGATCATCCGAGTCTTTTTCTAAGTAGGTCTGTTTATCTTGTCGAATTTGACATCTAACAGCTTAATTGTATGGTGATACTGTTTTAACCTGCCGTGTGACTGAGGTGTGTTCTATCGATCTGTCAGACGGCATCTGTGATGCTCTGATAGGTCGAATACACATGTTTCTTCTTATCCGTCTAGCTATCGGTTGGGCACCTGAGTCCTTTGCTTGCTATGAATCGTGCGGATGATCCCCGGTTGGGTCAAATATTTGTGAATCGTGCACAGTTTGATAAACAGTCGCTTCCTATCACTCGACCAACCATCGGTCTCATTCAAGTTCCGTGTGACGAGGGTGTACGCCGTAATGGCGGCCGCTTAGGTGCATCAGATGGGCCGACTGCTGTGATGAATTTATTGCCGCGATTCGGATGTCTGGACAATCGTGAATGGAATATTGACTTGAGAGCGTCAGGTAAACAGTCAATTTATGTTTATAGAATTTTATTACCCTACTTGTACTTTCGTGACCACTAGCGTCGTACGGTCTTCTTGACGGTTCTTCTTCATGTCTTGAACAGGTTTTCTTGTATTCATTGTGAATGGAACAGAGTTCTTTTTACTGTTCCATAAATTCTGCAGCCAATTTTGATTATCTAGAATCATTTGGAGTATGAATCAAACTGCGATCACCATGATCGGTGCTTGCATATTGCCCTCAACCACGTATATCCGAAAGGTTGGAAAAGTCCATGATTTGTATGGGTGTTGTGCTTTCGCTCAAATACTCTTGCTTAGGAAAAGAGTTACTCTGGGGGACTCCACATGATTTACCTTTACTTCAAGACTACGATCTTCGAAGCAAGGTAGATGAAACACAAAGTTTGCAATCCGTCGAACTCATGAGGAAGTGTTTAAGATACGTTTGACAGTTTGGTTGTGCAGTTCTAATCAGGACGTACAGTTTGCGTCGGTTTCAAGGTGTGTGATGTGAATTTTTTTCCCCACACTTTCACATTACCTGTGAAACCGCGTGAAAAAATGTTTGGGTGGTGCAAACTACTCGTCTCCATTCTCGCAATCGGTGTGTACAGAGTCATCTACTTATGTAACATATCGATCGTAGTTCCCGTTTATCAGAGCGTTATTAATTCGCTTTGTTTATTGTATGTTACACATCGACTGCCGCACATCGACTGATAACTTCGGCTCGATCTACTTTCGATGGAAGGTGTATGATGGAGCATTCCATATTCGTTAAATTGAATTGGCTCTACTTTTGCCATGATCAAATGCAGTGAAACACTAAGCAATGTCATATTGTCGTAGTTGGCGACTCCTGTAGGACCACTGCTTGAGTTCCAATGTAGGTTTTTACTGTTTTAGAAGACTGGAAGCAGCACCATCACATGACGCCCTCCTTCTTTGTTAAGGTTTTGTTTCTAATCGACGATTATCCCTACATTGTCCCATTTTTATATTGACTATCATCGATTTGCTCTGCTTTTGTCCACTACTCGCTTTCGTTAGCATATTTTCATCGTTCGGATCATGGACTGACAGACGAGGCTCTTGAGTGATATCTCGTCCCTTAAGCTTTAGAATTGTTTCCATCCTGTTGTACGACACATAAGCATGGTTTGGAACTAAGTTGTGCTTAGATCAAGCTAACCGTAGGCTTATCGTTCTTTTGCTGGTTGTCCAGGTATTCAGCTGGTTGCTTACGGTGAAACTGGATCCACAAACTTAGAAGACGTTCACATTGATCTGAAAAATCTCGTACACGATTGTCTACGTTCTGGTTTGTTTCCTCTGTCTATCGGGGGTGGCAACGATCAGAGTTGGGCAAACGGTTCCGCATGGATCGAATACTTGCGCTCTCGGCGGAGTAGCGGTGATGAGAAGTTGAAATTGACTGTTATCAATGTGGACGCACATTTGGATGTGAGACCGCTTATGCCGGACTTCGACGGGCAGTTATTAGCGCATTCTGGATCTCCATTTCGTCAGTTAGTAGAGATGACCCGAGATAAAGAGGCAAGTGGAAGTTTATTGTTTTTGCACAGACTGCTGTTTCTTTAAGTGGTATGTACTGTTGTGCCATGGATTGGTTTGCTTAATTATAAGAAGCCAGTTTTATAATTTGATCACTAACCGTTCGTATTGAAACGCGATTACGAGGTCTTTTTTGTATCAAACTTGAGTTCCAATTTCTGCAGGGCCCGTCACTGGAGCACTTTTGATGTGGTTGATAGCTTAAGCTTTCCGTTTTTGTTCCTATTGATTGCGTTTGCTCGCTGTGCGTTTGATCTCGTTACAGATAGACCAGTAAATACAACTAGAGGTCTAGTGCCCGCATCATGTATGTGATAACCTGTTGTATACTCACTAGAAAACAGGGCTATTGTCTTCTAATTTCAGATGATGTTTTCATTTGTCCTAATTTCCCGATTCCAGTCTCCACGTAATGGATAACTCAGGAAGACTGATCAGTATCGTGAACGAAATCGAATTCTTATAAATAGTCATTGAATGTTGGTCAGATCCATGTGAATCTAAGTAGCGAGTAGAGTGATTTCCATTTGTTGGATGGACATCACCACAACGACTCTGTTAAGCTCTCGTCGCCTACGTGGGCATGTGTTTTGATATGTTGGAATAAAACAAAGACACAAATACCTACTTAATATTGGTTCGGCCCTATACATACCTTCCGCATACCGAGTGACTGTTGTTGTGTAATTTGTTCAGTTTGTTACAACAAAGTAATCATCAGACCAACTCGGTGTTCGCGCTAACGTGCACCGCGGAAGAAACGCTCTAGGCATACGCTAACTTCTCAAATGCACAAACTGGTCTGCAGAACCAATCTGAAGGTACCCATTATTTTTCTACACGTGAATGGATCTTTCTACCGTAGTATCTGTTCACGTCTAACAATTTTGAACAGTCATCCTCCGAGCGTGACACTAGCAGCAGACCAAGCCGTGTACTATTGGCATGCCCTAATTAGTACGGCGTAGAACGGCTGAAAGTACGCATTCGAGTTGAGAACGTCGCCCAGTTGTCATTTTCCAGGTTCCACGTGATGATGATTATCTTACCGGTTTCTGGAATATATATTAATGGAACACACTGTACTGTTTTGGACTGCTGAATAGGTTGATAAATCCAGAGCCATGATTGTTCGAAATTTCTTAGTTCCTTTCGTCACTATATCGAATGAAATGACAGGTGCTTTTTCTTCCCCGTAGTAACCTGGTCTGCATAGTGTGTATTTGGATGTCCCTCTTCTACTTAACTTCTCTGGTGCAAACATACCGAATGAACTGTTTTGCTGAACTGACCGATACGCAGTACGCTTTGTGGTTTTCGTATGCGAAATGCCGCTTTAGGGTTGAGGCATTTCCATTCATGCTTTCTTAGTTGTAAACTGTTTTCTTGAAACTATGAAACGTTTAACGTGCTTACGTAGCATTCCTTTTTCGGCTTGCAATATCAGCGGAAGTACATGCTATCTTTGTATTACTTATGAGCAGTTTGGTACGTTTGATAATTTAGAAGAGACCCAATTACGAGACATTTGGGCTTCGATTGGATTCGAACCAGCGATGGCAGACTCGATAGGGTGCTCTACCAGCTGGGCTACGAAGCCACACTGGAAACTCAGAAACTTCATATTTGGACCTAATTATCTGTCTAATTCATTTTGTCATTTTAAATTCACTAAGTGATCCAGTCGATCGATTGCTCAAGCAGTATCTCTTGATCAGCCCACACGGGAATCTCCCAATGCCACTGATAAACATGTGACTTTGGTAGGACAGTGGATTGTCGTTACAAAGAAAGGTGTGCTATGCCTGTGTACTATACATTTTGATCTATGTTTCGGAGGCCTGGTCTGTTCTCAACAAAGATATATGAACAGACTTGCAATGTTCAGACCTCGTTGCTTCCACCTGTTAGACCACACCAATTGGGATGACCATATTAAGAACGCGGCAGTTCGCTATCGCGTATATTTATGAAAAGCTGATACACAGACCAGGTTAAATAACCTAACTACACAGCCTGTGTTTGCTGGATCGTGTGAATGTCTGTCAGCTGTACGTTTACCGCATCCATCATTTTCATGACTACCATCAGTAGTCAAAGAAACTCACGAGGTGGTTAGCCGATATCGCCGTCACGAAGTATGAAGACCTTGACTGTTCCATGAAATAAAGTAATTGAACGTCGCCTGTTCGGTTGATTACTTAAACCCCTGGTTAAAAACGCTATGTGTGCGACCCAGCAATGTTTAATATCATTCCGTCGAGATTTTGTTTATTTATTTTGATACAACGTTTTTTCTGTGCTTTCCGTCTTAGCTGTTGTGATTAACAGCGGCTCGAACAACGCCATCACCTGGTCAGATTCACAATCATTTAAGTATATCTGTGCATTGCGGTTACTCTTCATTGCTTTCTCCCTTCCTCCGAATTTCCCTATAATGTGGTTATCCTATGATTTTTGGGACCTACCTTGCTATATTGTTTAACATAGGATTTGCAATTGATCGAATTCGCTGCTCAAGGCCAACAGTGTTCCTGCGTTCATGTGGACTATGTGTTAGAGAATGGCGGCCGAATCGTGTGGCTGTCTGATCTCGGCGAATTTGTGGTTGGTACCCGTTTGAGGACTGGTGTTCACTCAAATGCTGTAGCAAAACTTCAAAGTATTCTGTCCGAATGTGAGAGTGCCAGCAGAAGGGTTTTCTTCTCGTTTGACCTGGATGCTATTCGCGCATCTGATTGCCCCGGTGTTAGCTGTCCGTCTCCCGTAGGTTTGTCGAGCGAAGAAGCGTTGGGATTGTGTTTCGTTGCGGGGGCATCAAAAGCGGTGGATTTGATGGATATATCAGAATTTAATCCGCGCATCGAATCGTCACAAACAAGTCGATTGGTAGTCAACATGATTTATCATTTCGTTCTAGGCTACTCACGACGATTCGTCAGCTGAGACATTGCCGTCTTTTTTGGTTTAGCAATCTGATTTGATGCTTCCGGTTTTTACGATAATCTTTGTGATTTAAGTTTAATTCGGTGTTTCGTCGTATCTCTCATTCTGATTTTGCGGAACAATCTATTTTTATTTTTGTGACGATTCTGTGAAAGATTATGTTTTCCGATTCATATCTTGTAGACCTTGGTTCGATTTTTTTTAACCATAATCTTGATTTATTACAAATACACTACTTATTTTGTCTTCGGGATTTTTGACCAATCACTCTGCATTCTAGAATAGTAAAGTTATTTATGTGCCTCTATCTCACAAACATCTACACGGACAAGATAGATCATTCATGTTGCCTAGGGTAAGGACAGGCGTCGATAATTTGGCGGATTTGACGAGTTCAGTGTAAAATGATTCGCGTTCATGCCTAAGTTCTTGTGAAGTGCGCGTTTTTGTTCGGTCGAGATTGTATACATTGCGTTCGTATTGCTGACAGACCAGCTTTGAGTTCCGCACCAGCTCAGCATTGACAGCACGCTATGTTTTGAAGCTTTGAACTGTTTGTATGAGCGTAGCTGTTATTATTTTGGCCAATAGAGCTGTATACTAGGGTGCTTGTGGATCTTATCCGGTCGTCAAAACCTGTAGACAAGTTATGTCGTTATACCCAAAGTATTCCTGAAAACTCAAAGTTGTAAACAACTGCTTTCGGTAATTCGCATCAGGCGTATATAATTATAAGGAATTCACTGGACTTATATGTGAAACCGGAATATAATTTCAAGAGAACCGGACCGATGGGTACAATTGTTACAGGGCTGTATGGACTCCTCAAAGTCCATAAATTGGATTACCCTTACACCCGATTTGTGATGTGAACAGTTCACCGTCTCATGGTCCAACTCGATGACCAGTCAGATAAAAAATAACTCCATTTAGTCTAAAAAATGTTTGAGTCTGAAGTCTATCGACTGGCTTATCATTGAAAATTACCAAATGCCTTCCCTTTGATGTCACGTTACATTTCCCCTGGGCAACCATGTGTAAACCACCTGAATCTCATTTACCCATTAACCCGACTAACATGTTCTCACATATCGGCCACGTGTTTCATGTAAACACCGCACTCACAAACAAACAAACCTATCATCACCCGGTTCGACGGTCATCCACAGTTTGATTGACTATTGTCATTGCGCATAGTCTATTCCAGTTTTATATGCCCACTGAGTCCTTTGTAATGGTACATGCCCGATGAGAATGACCGAAAACACCTGTTTGCAGACTGAACACACGTGTTCATGCTAATCCGGTTCCGAACCATATTGGGATTTTTGTCAACATTAGAGCCTTCGATGATCACCCATCCGAAATACATGCATTTAAGGGTGTATGTATGTGTATAGGAGGATAAACGGTACGATTAGCATTGCGTCAATTTGGTGAGCGATAGCAAGTACTGTACCAGTGTGAGACATCGAATGCAGTGTTGATAATTAATGGGATATTGTTTTCTTTCCAGAGACGGAGGTCATATGGGATGGATTGCGGATGGAATTATCTGAATTGTAGTGCGTGTGAATTTGTCAGCAGACGTTCGTGTTATTCATCCGACCGACTCGTTGGACTAATATTCACACTCTGAGGTTTCATGGACGTTTGAGGGTGCGAAGGGTGTACGCATCGTAGAGAAGTTGAAAATGAGTGGCTCTGTTGAATAAATAGATTGTTTTCACCATACATCTTGGGTATGACAGGCGAGATGGGCCATCTAGCACGCTGAATCTACTGTGGCTGAAATGGAAATGAAAACAGATAAGTGCATATTTAACGTAACGAGGGGAGAGTCTAAACAGACAACTCGTCTATGTCCGATCTAAAAGGAGTATTCTGCCATAGGAACCACAGACGTTGAAGTTAGAAGAGTGTGTTTTAAGTGCACTTGGCATCCGTACATGTCTGTAAACCCCATTGAATCTACAACACTGGGCAAAAATAGTTTGCGAACCCGGTGGGGTTTGTTGATGTACACGATTGTTAGCAGCATTTGAGGTATTGTCTTCTAACATCAGCATCTGTGATTCATATGGTAAGATCTGTGATTGAGACTTACTGAGTACAAATTTGCTCTGTAATGACAGTTGCGAAACAGGTGATATGCTCCCGGTAACTGTTGGATACCGGATCAGAAGCATTTCCTGCTATGACTTTCTAGGTCTTATTCATACCTAAATGTCATTGTTACTGGTTAGCCGAGTACTAACGTCATCTTTGTTGCGAACTGTCATAGACCGAATACAGTTCACGCTTAAATGCACCATTCATACTCAAACAGACGTTCCAGATGGTCGTCTGCACTTCGGCCGGAGGCATTGACTTGAACGGCGTTCTTGTCAGATTTGTCATTTGACACATCCTATTCTGAACCGTGAACACACTTCCTGCCTTTCCTGGGCATGTAGTATGAACGTGCTGATAACCGGGCTGTTACTCTGGCATCAGAAAGGAGCGAATGATTATACCTAAACTCTGGTGGATCACGCTTAGGCCGTTCGTGAATCAACGCAGTTACTGTCCTGTCTACTCCAGTCTTTCTGAACCTCATTTGAAATCATCGACCTGATTGATGCTGTAATGTTTTGGTTACCGTTGTCTAGTTGGGGATTTGGATTTTTAGGTGAGAATTTCTGATTTCTATCCTTGTTAACATCGGTATTTCCACCATGAGTAACTGATACATGTTCAAAATTGCACCAGATGGCTTAACGCAATTATTACTCAAAAATCCTGCCCGTATACAGTGATACCGACTATTTGTTTGGACCTGCATATCTACTGCATGACGGATAGTGGGCACCTGTTCATGCAACTTCGGTATGGATTATTTATGCTTAACTAAGCTTTTCTCGATGAGATCTACTAACAGATAACGGAACTGAACAAGATAGGATGGAGCTTTTCTAGTAATCTTGGTCTGAAGCGTCGTACTTTGGCTAATGTTGAACTTTGTATGGAATACAACACTCACGTCTAATCATAACCATAACTTTGTCGTCCACCAGCTGTGGGGTCGTATCCCAGTGCAGTGCCAAGTGGCACGTTGGGACGAGGCCAGGAGGTTGCGCCTAGTGAGGCCGAACTTGGTGGCATTTCCAATGCGTTGATCCCCACTCCGTCTTTCTCGTTCGGCTCTTGAGTATGATTCACCAAAGCCTTTAGAATGAACATATGAGAGAAACGGTTGCGTCAGTTTTATTTCGACTACATTACAGATACGCATTATTCATATGGAAGTTACTAGTCGCTTCGCGATCAATATGTACAGTTGACTCCGATTTAATGAACTTCAAATACCTTCACATGATTCACCGTACGATCGTGAGTTATAGCCCCAGTTCTGTCGACTAATTCTGGTTCGTTTTGGGTGGCGTCACAATGTCCAGTTGCAAGTGTGACGCCAAACATATTGGACTGTTAAAATAACTGACAACTTTCCATTTCGGGTTTTACCCCACCGTTTTGCGCTTCTAATACAGTATGGGTCCGGACAATACTACAATTCTCTATGGCATCTGGGGCTAGAGACGGGTGACGGGGGGTTACGTGTGTATGAAATCCCATGAGACAAATCTGTGATTGTCAATTCATACAAATTTCACG